TTTTTTTATTATTTTTATATGATGCACAATTATAGCTCGCCAGCTATTGTAAGGCTTACCATATATATATATATATATATATATATATTATTTTGACACCAAATTTTGGGTGTCCACTCGTCTCTTAAAGTCGCACCGGTAAATTTTTTTAAAAAAGTATTCTCAATAAAACAAAATAACCAAAATACCCCTGAATGTTCCAAGAAGTATTTTGGTTATTATATGTTATTGAAATTTTGTTTTTAATATTTGTTTTAAGTGTGTTTCATTGAGATGATGACACATACCAAATTTTACATTCATATAATTTGTAGAAAGAAAAATAAAAATAAAATACTCTGAGACGTTCGGATTTAGATCGAATAATCAGTAGCTCAACTTGATATAAATTGGACTCCTCGATAGGCGAAAACATATATCTTTTATGCATAGGGGAAATATAGAAACCTTTCCCTTTTACTCGAGGCTCTACTTTGCTGAAGCCTAGGCCCTATAGAAACTACCTCCATTTCCATTTATGTATGGACACGGTTGCTATGCTGCCAGCCTACATACTGTAGAAATGCGGGCTTGGCAGTAAATATATTTTTTAAATATAATTTGATCCTAATTTTAAGAGAATATAGAATCTTTAATATGGAGATCATGAATATGTAAAAATAATAATTTAAAAATTAAAAATAATATTTATATTAAAAAATTAATTACATTTATTTTGAGATGGACCACCTATTTGCATTGATGGATGCTTTATACTCTCTGCATAATGTTGAATGCAGTCGAGCCGGCATGAAACAACTTTCCTTTATTACGTAAAGTTATAAACTTTCCATTTGTGGGCTTCGGAACAACTTTTTTGGGGAGTTGTTGAGGGCTTCAATAGGTGACCCCTTCTAGTGGACCTTTTTATAATAACTTATCTCAACGATCTCTTTTCTAAATATGTTGTTGATGAAACTCGCTATTACTCGTTCATGAAACTCGCTATTAGTTGCTGCAAACGGGATTTGATATTTTTTCGGAGAAATTTCTTGTCTAAGTTCGAAAGCACATATCTTCCAGGGATACGTAAGCGCTCTTTCTCTGTCCTCTCTCTCTCTCTCTCTCTAACATTCTTCATGAGCGACTTGTCTTGCTACACGTAATGCGTCCACTTTAAACTATCTATATCTTTAATTTCTCTCTGGGAAATTGTGACATTATAAAGTGGGTATTATTCCGAAGTCAATCTTCCCAATTTTTGTTGTTTTTGTAATGCTCAGGAAGGACTGGTTATTGCTTGTTCGGAACCATCAAACTGAACTGAATCATAGTTTTGTGTAAACCGAGTTAAATTTTCAACTGATCGAATTGATTCGGATACGTAGTGAGATATTTGGTTTTGATGTAGTAGGGCATAATGCTCTTTATGTATCGTATTAGGACTCATGTTTTTTTCATTCTGCATATTGGTTGTCATGGAACTCTTATCTGAATTTGAGTCCTGTTTCCCTGACTCATTTTTTGTTTGGCCAAACTGCTAAGCTTAACTTGTTATGGAAACCATTCTGGTTAATTTGCTATCCATTGTTGAAAAATATGGACTCAGGCTCGGATCGCCAGGGTCCCCAATCCCGCGTCAGTTACAGAACCATTATGAATGGGAGGCAAGTCTGAGGTCCGACTTGGTCGATTATATGTGAAAATAACAAAGGGTACCCTAGTCTTGGGAGACTCGGCCGGTAACTGGGCTTCTCCCTCCGAGATTGACTGGGCCCCAGTCTGGGCCTCTTTTTTTTTTTTATATTTTCTTGATTTTAGATTTGGTATTATTTAGGTTTTTAGCTTATTTCGGGTTTTTTTTGTATTTTTTTGATGTAGAGATTTTAGGAATATAAAGGATATTTATGTTAAAATTTTAAGAGCTATTGGAGAGAAATAGGAAGGTGTGGGAGGAGGTGGTATAATCTCACATTCTTTTTATTTTATTTTTATTTTCTTGTTATTATTTTTCCCTGCATCAAGGCTGACTCAGGCGAGTGCAGCCCTGGTAGTTTTTGATTACTGGTAGTATTCCATTGTACACTCCCCTAAAACAGTAAATTGCATTTGCCTCTGTTTGTAACTTATCAATAGCATCGATCTTGTTTCAATGCTCTTGTGACAATCGAAAGCGCAATCCTATTATGGATAAACTAGCGCCTCATTTGAGCTTCATGTTTCCAATGTGAAACCTCCTACTTTTTATCTGACACCCGATGTGCCTATCAAGTTTATGAATTTTTCTTCATGGCCTATGTAGGTGATTTATGTACTTTGCATTAGGATTTCATTTTTCTTAAACTTTAAAAATTGAAAAAAGTCATAAAAAGGAAAAATTAGGAGAAAGTAAGGGAAATATAGAAAATTATATTGATTGGAGTGCAATTGTTCCATGGATAGTTGTATTGTCTATCTAT